GATATGGGGGGGTTTGGGGGTGAAAATGGGGGTTTGAGGGGTGAAAAAGGAGATTTGGGGGGTCAATCCCAGACCCTCCAGGCGCTTCTGCTCCTCCAGGGATTGCCTGGGGGGGGAAAGGGGGGTTGGGGGGTGAAAACCAGGATTTTGGGGGGTTTGGGAGTGAAAAAGGAGATTTGGGGGGTTGATCCCAGACCCTTGAGGTGTTTCTGCTCCTCCAGGGACTGCCTGATGGGAAAAGGGGGTTTGGGGGCTGAAAATGGGGGTTTGGGGGGTGAAAACCAGGATTTTGGGGGGTTTGGGAGTGAAAAAGGAGATTTGGGGGGTTGATCCCAGACCCTTGAGGTGTTTCTGCTCCTCCAGGGACTGTCTGATGGGAAAAGGGGGTTTGGGGGGTGAAAATGGGGGTTTGGGGGGGTGAAAACCAGGATTTTGGGGGGTTTGGGAGTGAAAAAGGAGATTTGGGGGGTTGATCCCAGACCCTTGAGGTGTTTCTGCTCCACCAGGGACTGCCTGGTGGGGGAAAAAAGGGGTTTGGGGGTGAAAAATGGGATTTAGGGGGTTGCTCCTACACCCTTGAGATGTTTCTGCTACTCCAGGGACTGCCTGGGTGGGAGAAGAGGGGTTTTGGGGAGTGAAAAAGGGGATCTGGGGGGTGAAAAAGGGGGTTTGGGGGGTGAAAAATGGGATTTGGGGGGCTGATCCCACACCCCCTGGACATTTCTGCTCCTCCAGGGATTGTCTGGGGGGGAGAAAAGAGGGTTTGGGGGGTGAAAAGGGGGATTTGGGGGGTGAAAAAGGGGATTTGGGGGGTTTGGGGCAGGACAATTGGGGACACCGTGGGGGGCCCAGGGGACAGCTGGGGACACTGTGGGGGGCTCAGGGATGCTCAGGGGACAGTTGGGGACACCATGGGGGGCTCAGGTGGCCCCAGGAGGGCTCAGGTGGCCCCAGGGGACAGTTTGGGACACTGTGGGGGGCTCAGGGGTGCTCAGGGGACAGTTTGGGACACTGTGGGGGGCTCAGATGGCCTTAGGTTGGCCATGGGGGGCTCAGGTGGGCCCAGAGGACAGTTGGGGACATCATGGGGGGCTCAGGTGGTCTCAGGTGGTCCCAGGGGGGCTGAGGTGGCCCCAGGGGACAGTTGGGGACACTGTGGGGGGCTCAGGTGGCCTCAGGAGGGCTCAGGTGGCCTCAGGGGGGCCCAAGGGGGCTCAGGTGGCCTCAGGTGGCCCCAGGGGACAGCTGGGGACACCGTGGGTGGCCCAGGGGACAGCTGGGGACACTGCAGGGGCCCAGGGCACAGTTGGGGACACCATGGGGGGCTCAGGGGGCCCAGGGCACAGCTGGGGACACCGTGGGTGGCCCAGGGCACAGCTGGGGACACCGTGGGGGGCCCAGGGGACAGCTGGGGACGCCGTGGGTGGCCCAGGGGACAGCTGGGGACACCGTGGGGGGCCCAGGGCACAGCTGGGGACACTGTGGGTGGCCCAGGGCAGAGCTGGGGACACCGTGGGGGCCCAGGGCACAGCTGGGGACACTGCAGGGCCCCGCTCACCTCGGTCTCCACCTTCTTCCTCTCCTCCAGGTCCAGGCGGTCCTGGTCGGCCTTCTGGTCGCGGTTGAACTTCTCCAGCTCCTGCGCCAGCGTGGCCGCGCGCTTGCTGGCCTCCTCCTTCAGCCGGTGGTACTTCTTCACCTGGGGACGGGGACGGGGACACGTCACCGGGGTGGGGACACCCTGGGGACACTGCAGCCCCCCTTGGGGACACTCAACCCCCTGGGGACACCTTGGGGACCCTCTACCCTCCCGGGGACACCCTGGTGACACTCCAGCCCCACTTGGGGACACTCCAGCCCCCCCTGGTGACCCTCCAGCCCCTGGGGACACCCTGAGAACACTCCAGCCCCCTTGGGGACACTCCAGATGGGGACACTCCAGCCCCTTGGGGACGTGTCACCCACTTGCTGGTGGCGATGTACTCCTCGAGCTTCTCGATGCGCTTCTGGTTCTCCTCGATCTCCCGCAGCTTCTGCTTGATCTTGGCCTGGGACAGACGGGGGGACAGACAGGGGTCAGCAGGGTCAGGGGGGCCCAAGGGACAGTTGGGGACACCGCAGAGGGCCCAGGGGACTGTTGGGGACGCTATAGGGGGCTCAGGTTGGCTCAGATGGCCCCAGGGGACAGTTGGGGACACTGTGGGGGGCCCAGGGGACGGTTTGGGACACTGTGGGGGGCTCAGCTTGGCTCTCACCTGGGGGGACAGCTCACCTGGGGCTCACCTGGGGACACCTGGGGGGTCAGATCACCTGGGGGCTCACCTGGGGCAGCTCACCTGGGGACACCTGGGGGGTCAGATCACCTGGGGCAGCTCACCTGGGGGGACAGCTCACCTGGGGCTCACCTGGGGACACCTGGGGGGTCAGATCACCTGGGGGGCTCACCTGGGGCTCACTTGGGGGCTCACCTGGGTCAGCTCACCTGGGATCCCTCCCCAAACCCCACAGGATCAGCACACCTGGGGGTTCACCTGGGGGGTCAGCTCACCTGCAGGGCTCACCTGGGACAGCTCACCTGGGGGGACAACTCACCTGGGGGGGCAGCTCACCTGGGGGGACAGATCACCTGGGACAGCTCACCTAGGGGGACAACTCACCTGGGGGGACAGATCACCTGGGGGGCACCTGGGATCCCTCCCCAAACCCCACAGGATCAGCTCACCTGGGGGTTCACCTGGGGCAGCTCACCTGGGGGGGCAGCTCACCTGGGACAGCTCACCTGGGGGCACCTGGGACAGCTCACCTGAGGGGTACCTGGGATCCCTCCCCAAACCCCACAGGATCAGCTCACCTGGGGGCTCACCTGGGACAGCTGACCTGGGGGCACCTGGGTCAGCTCACCTGAGGGGTACCTGGGATCCCTCCCCAAACCCCACAGGATCAGCTCACCTGGGGGTTCACCTGGGGACAGCTGACCCGGGGGACTCACCTGGGAGCCAGGGGCAGCTCAGGATCCCTCCCCAAACCTCACAGGATCAGTCCTAGGGAGCTCACCTGGGGCTCACCTGGGAGCCAGGGGCAGCTCAGGATCCCTGTCCAAACCTCACAGGATCAGCCCCAGGCAGCTCACCTGGGGCTCACCTGGGAGCCCCTCCCACATCCTGGGTCAGCTCACCTGGGTCGGCTCACCTGGGGGCACCTGGGGCTCACCTGGGGGCTCACCTGGGAGCCCCTCCCACATCCTGGGGTCAGCTCACCTGGGTCGGCTCACCTGGGGGCACCTGGGGCTCACCTGGGGGCTCGCCTGGGTCAGCACACCTGAGAGCTCACCTGGGAGCCCCTCCCACATCCTGGGTCAGCTCACCTGGGTCAGCTCACCTGGGGCTCACCTGGGGGCTCGCCTGGGTCAGCACACCTGAGAGCTCACCTGGGAGCCCTTCCCACATCCTGGGGTCAGCTCACCTGGGATCCCTCCCCAAACCCCACAGGATCAGCACACCTGGGCCAGCTCACCTGGGGGGGGCTCACCTGGAGCTCCAGAGAGCCCTTCCCAAATCCCATGGGATCAGCCCACACCTGCTTCTCCTCCAAGGTGAGATCTCCATCCCTCCCAGACCCCAAATCCCACCCCGTACCTGCTTCTCCTCCAAGGTGAGATCTCCATCCCTCTCAAGTCCCCAAATCCCCCCCGTACCTGCTTCTCCTCCAAGGTGAGATTCTCCATCCCCCCAAATCCCACGGGATCACCCCGTACCTGGTTCTCCTCCAGGGTCAGGTCCCTGCCCTGGCTCTGGCTCTCCTCCATCCCCCCAAACCCCAAATCCCCCCCGTACCTGGTTGTGCTCCAGGGCCAGGTCCCTGCCCTGGCTCTGGCTCTCCTCCATCCCCCCAAACCCCAAATCCCCAAATCCCACGGGATCAGCCGGTACCTGGTTCCCAGACCCCAAATCCCATGGGATCACCCCATACCTGGTTCCCAAACCCCAAATCCCCCCCGTACCTGGTTGTGCTCCAGGGCCAGGTCCCTGCCCTGGCTCTGGCTCTCCTCCATCCCCCCAAACCCCAAATCCCCAAATCCCACGGGATCAGCCTGTACCTGGTTCCCAGACCCCAAATCCCATGGGATCACCCCATACCTGGTTCCCAGACCCCAAATCCCCCCCATACCTGGTTGTGCTCCAGGGCCAGGTCCCTGCCCTGGCTCTGACTCGCCTCCATCCCTCCCAAATTCCCAAATCCCAGGTGATCACCTCATACCTGGTTCTCCTCCAGGGTCAGGTCCCTGCCCTGGCTCTGGCTCTCCTCCATCCCTCCCAGACCCCAAACCCCCAAATCCCAACCTATCAGCTTGTACTCCTTTAGATTCCCAAATCCCAGGTGATTACCTCATACCTGGTTCTCCTCCAGGGTCAGCTCCCTCTCAGACCCCAAATCCCAGGGGATCACCCTGTACCTGGTTCCCAGACCCCAAATCCCAGGGGATCCCCGCCGTACCTGGTTCTCCTCCAGGGCCAGGTCCCTGCCCTGGCTCTGGCTCTCCTCCATCCCTCCCAAACCCCCAAATCCCCAAATCCCACCTGTCCTACCCCATACCTGGTTCTCCTCCAGGGTCAGGTCCCTGCCCTGGCTCTGGCTCTCCTCCTCCATGCGCTCCTCGAACTCCTGCCGGGATTTCTCCACGGACAGCATCTCCTTCTCCAGCTCGTCCATGTCGGCCTTGCGTTTCTTGTACTGCTTCTGGGCGTTCTGCAGCGACTTGCGCGCCGCCTCCAGCTTCTTGATCTTGTGCGAGGTGTTCTCCTTGGCCTTGATGTACTGCGGGCGCTTCTGGTTCAGCTCCGAGTCCTTCTCCCTGAAACCACGTGGGCTCTGCCACTTGGGCCGCCGTTTGGGCCTGGCTTTGGCACTTGGGCCGGGGTTTGGGCCTGGTTTGGGAGTTTGGGCCGCGGTTTGGGCCTGCCTTGGGAGTTTGGGCCGCGGTTTCGGCCTGCCTTGGGAGTTTGGGCCGCGGTTTCGGCCTGGTTTTGGGGTTTGGGCCTGGTTTGGGAGTTTGGGCCTGGTTTGGGAGTTTGGGCCTGGTTTGGGACCTGATTTGGAAGTTTGGGCCTGGTTTTGGGCCCAATTTGGGAGTTTGGGCCTGATTTTGGGGTTTGAGCCTGGTTTTGGGAGTTTGGGCCTGCCTTGGGACTTGGGCCGGGATTTGGGCTTGGTATGGGAGTTTGGGCCTGGTTTTGTGCCTGATTTTGGGGTTTGGGCCTGATTTTGGGTCTGATTTTGGGGTTTGGGCCTGGTTTTGGGCCTGGTTTGGGAGTTTGGGCCTGGTTTGGGAGTTTGGGCCTCGGTTTGGGCCTGGTTTGGGAGTTTGGGCCGCGGTTTGGGCCTGCCTTGGGAGTTTGGGCCGCGGTTTGGGCCTGGTTTTGGGGTTTGGGCCTGGTTTTGGGCCTGGTTTGGGAGTTTGGGCCTGGTTTTGGGCCTGGTTTGGGAGTTTGGGCCTGGTTTGAGAGTTTGGGCCGCGGTTTGGGCCTGCCTTGGGAGTTTGGGCCACGGTTTGGGCCTGGTTTTGGGGTTTGGGCCTGGTTTTGGGCCTGGTTTGGGAGTTTGGGCCTGGTTTGGGAGTTTGGGCCTGGTTTGGGACCTGATTTGGAAGTTTGGGCCTGGTTTTGGGCCCAATTTGGAAGTTTGGGCCTGATTTTGGGGTTTGAGCCTGGTTTTGGGAGTTTGGGCCTGCCTTGGGACTTGGGCCGGGATTTGGGCTTGGTATGGGAGTTTGGGCCTGGTTTTGTGCCTGATTTTGGGGTTTGGGCCTGATTTTGGGTCTGATTTTGGGGTTTGGGCCTGGTTTTGGGCCTGATTTCGGGCCCAATTTTGGCGTTTGGGCCTAGTTTGGGCCTGGTTTGGGAGTTTGGGCCTGGCTTTGGGCCTGATTTTGGGGTTTGGGCCTGGTTTTGGACCTGATTTTGGGCCCGATTTTGGGGTTTGGGCCTGCTTTTTGGGCCTGGTTTTGGGCCTGAGTTTGGGCCTGGTTTGGGAGTTTGGGCCTGGTTTTGGGCCTGACCAGAACTTAAACCTGGTTTTTAAACATTCCCACCCAGATAATTCCAGGTTCTGGAGCCCCTCAGCCACAGAGCCAGGCTGGGAACGCTGGGATTGTCCAGCAAACCACTCCAGGTTTTGGAGCCCCTCAGCCATGGAGACAGGCTGGGACTGTCCAAGATTTGGAACCCCCTGGTCTGTGAAGGTATCCCTGCCCATGGAACCAGAATTTAAACCTGGTTTTTAAACATTCCAACCCAAACAATTCCAGGTTCTGGAGCCCCTCAGCCATGGAGACAGGCTGGTAAAGCTGGGATTGTCCAGCTGGAGTGGGATGAGATTTGGTCTGGGAAGGTGTGAAGCTGTCCCTGGCCATGGAACCAGAATTTAAACCTGGTTTTTAAATATTCCAACCTAAATAATTCCATCTTTTCCCACTCAAGCCACTCCAGGCTTTTGGAGCCCCTCAGCCATGGAGCCAGGCTGGGATTGTCCCAGCTTTGGAACCTCCTGGACTGTGAAGATGTGAAGCTGTCCCTGCCCATGGAACCAGAATTTAAACCTGGTTTTTAAACATTCCAACCCAAACAATTCCAGGTTCTGGAGCCCCTCAGCCATGGAGACAGGCTGGTAAAGCTGGGATTGTCCAGCTGGAGTGGGATGAGATTTGGACTGGGAAGGTGTGAAGGTGTCCGTGCCCATGGAACCGGAATTTAAACCTGGTTTTTAAATATTGCAACCCAAATAATTCTAGGTTTTGAAGCCCCCCTGCCACAGACACTGGATTGTCCAAGATCTGGAACTCACTGATCTGTGAAGCTGTCCCTGCCCATGGAACTGGAGAGTAAACCTGGTTTTTAAACATTCCAACCCAAATAATTCCAGATTTTAGAGCCCCTCAGCCATGGAGACAGGCTGGGAAAGCTGGGATTGTCCAGCTGGAGTGGGATGAGATTTGGAACCACCTGGACTGGGAAGGTGTGAAGCTGTCCCTGCCCATGGAACCTGAATTTAAACCTGGTTTTTAAACATTCCAACCCAAACAATTCCAGATTTTAGAGCCCCTCTGTCATGGAGCCAGGCTGGAATTTTCCAGCTGGAGTGGGATGAGATTTGGAACCACCTGGACTGGGAAGGTGTGAAGCTGTCCCTGCCCATGGAACCTGGGTGGGAATTTAAACCTGGCTTTTAAACATTCCAACCCAAATAATTCCAGGTTTTCCAACCCAAACCACTCCAGGTTTTGGAGCCTCTCTGTCATGGACACAGGCTGGGACTGTCCAAGATCTGGAACCCCCTGGTCTGGGAAGGTGTCCCTGCTCATGAAACCAGAATTTAAACCTGGTTTTAAAACATTCCAACCCAAATAATTCCACCTTTCCCCCAGCCCTCCCCGACTTTCGGTCTCTCCGCCCCGTGCCCGGCTCCTCACTTGATCTCCTTCTCGATCTGCTGCTGCTCCCTCATCATTTTGCCCAGCTCCTTCTTGCGGTCCTTGAGCTCGTCCTCCACCCTGTCCATCCTCTTCTTGTCCTTGTCGATCTCGCGGTTCTTCAGCCCCAGCTCCTTGTTGAGCTTCTCGATCTCGGCCTCGTTGTGGAACAGTTTGAAGAGCTGCAGCTGCACCTGGGCCCGAACCACCTCGTCCTTGAGCCGCTGGTACCGGTCAGCCTGCGGGGAGGCCAGTCAGCGGGGCCGGGCCGGGCCGGGCTAGGCCTGGCTCTGCCCAGGAAAGGCTTAAAGATGAGCTTGGGGCTGGGCTAGGCCTGGTTCTGCCCAGGAAAGGCTTAAAGATGAGCTTGGGGCTGGGCTAGGCCGGGCTTTGGCCCAGAGATGGTCAAAGCTGGGCCTAGGCCTGGGTTAGGCTGGGTCTGGGCTAGGCCAGGCTTTGGCCCGGAGATGGTCAAAGCCAGGCCTGGTTCTGCCAGGAGATGGTCAAAGCTGGGCTGGGGCTGGGCCAGGCCTGGCTCTGGCCAGGAGCTGCTCAGACTCAGGGTTTGGGCCTGGTTCTGCCAGGAGCTGCTCAAAGCCAGGCCTGGTTCTGTCAGGAGATGCTCAAAGCTGGGCTTGGGCTGGGCCAGGCCTGGCTCTGCCCAGGAAAGGCTTAAAGATGAGCTTGGGGCTGGGCTAGGCCTGGTTCTGCCCAGGAAAGGCTTAAAGATGAGCTTGGGGCTGGGCTAGGCCGGGCTTTGGCCCAGAGATGGTCAAAGCTGGGCCTAGGCCTGGGTTAGGCTGGGTCTGGGCTAGGCCAGGCTTTGGCCCGGAGATGGTCAAAGCCAGGCCTGGTTCTGCCAGGAGATGGTCAAAGCTGGGCTGGGGCTGGGCCAGGCCTGGCTCTGGCCAGGAGCTGCTCAGACTCAGGGTTTGGGCCTGGTTCTGCCAGGAGCTGCTCAAAGCCAGGCCTGGTTCTGTCAGGAGATGCTCAAAGCTGGGCTTGGGCTGGGCCAGGCCTGGCTCTGCCCAGGAAAGGCTTAAAGATGAGCTTGGGGCTGGGCCAGGCCTGGCTCTGCCCAGGAGCTGCTCAAAGCCAGGCCTGGTTCTGCCCAGGAGCTGCTCAAAGCCAGGCCTGGTTCTGCCCAGGAGATGCTCAAAGCCAGACCTGGTTCTGGCCAAGAATTGCTCAAACTCAGGGTTTGGGCCTGGCTCTGCCCAGGAAATGCTTAAACATGAGCTTGGTACTGGCTAGGCCGGGCTTTGGCCCAGAGATCATCAAAGCCAGACCTGGTTCTGAGCAGAATCTTCTCAAAGCTGGGCCAGGCCTGGGTTAGGCTGGGTCTGGGCTAGGCCAGGCTTTGGCCCGGAGATGGTCAAAGCCAGGCCTGGTTCTGCCCAGGAAATGCTTAAAGATGAGCTTGGGGCTGGGCCAGGCCAGGCTTTGGCTGGGAGATGATCAAAGCCAGGCCTGGCTCTGCCCAAGAGATGCTCAGACTCAGGGTTTGGGCCTGGCTCTGTCCAGGAAATGCTTAAAGATGAGCTTGGGGCTGGGCCAGGCCTGGCTTTGGCCCAGGAGATGCTCAAACTCAGGGTTTGGGCCTGGTTCTGCCAGGAGATGCTCAAAGCCAGGCCTGGCTCTGGGCAGGAGTGGCTCAAAGATGAGCTTTGGGTTGGGCTAGGCCTGGCTCTGCCCAGGAAAGGCTTAAAGATGAGCTTGGGGCTGGGCCAGGCCAGGCTTTGGCTGGGAGATGATCAAAGCCAGGCCTGGTTCTGCCCAAGAGATGCTCAGACTCAGGGTTTGGGCCTGGCTCTGCCCAGGAAATGCTTAAAGATGAGCTTGGGGCTGGGCCAGGCCGGGCTTTGGCCGGGAGATGCTCAAAGCTGGGCCTAGGCCTGGTTCTGCCCAGGAAATGCTTAAAGAAGAGCTTGGGGCTGGGCTAGGCCTGCCTCTGCCCAGGAGTTGATCAAACTCAAGATTTGGGCCTGGTTCTGCCAGGAGATGGTCAAAGCCAGACCTGACTCTGCCCAGGAAAGGCTTAAAGATGAGCTTGGGGCTGGGCTAGGCCTGGCTTTGGCCCAGGAGATGCTCAAACTCAGGGTTTGGGCCTGGTTCTGCCAGGAGATGCTCAAAGCCAGGCCTGGTTCCGCCCAGGAGTTGATCAAACTCAAGGTTTGGGCCTGGCTCTGCCCAGGAAAGGCTTAAAGATGAGCTTGGGGCTGGGCCAGGCCGGGCTTTGGCCGGGAGATGCTCAAAGCTGGGCCTAGGCCTGGTTCTGAGCAGGAGCTTCTCAAAGCTGGGCTTTGGGCCTGGCTCTGCCCAGGAGATGCCCAAAGCCAGGCCTGGCTCTACCCAGGAGATGCCCAAAGCCAGGCCTGGTTCTGCCCAAGAGATGCTCAAAGCCAGGCCTGGCTTTTCCAGGAGATGCTCAAAGCTGGGCTTGAGCTGGGCTAGGCCTGGCTTTGGCCGGGAATTGCCCAAACTCAGGGTTTGGGCCTCCTGATTGTGCCCAGGAGCTGCTCAAAGCCAGGCCTGGCAGTGCTCAGGAGCTGCTCAAACCTGGGCTTTGTGCTGGGCTAGGCCCGGCTTTGGCCAGGAGTTGCCCAAAGCTGGGCCTAAACCTGACTCAGGCTGGGAGCACCTGGAGCTCAGGCCCTGCCCAGACCCTTCCCAGCCCTGGCTCTGTGTAGAACCTTCCCAATATTCCCAAAAATCTTTTTCCAGGAATCCAACCATTCCCAACCCCTTTTGTCCTGGTGCTCTGAGCATTCCCAAACCCCTCTTTGCCCAAGAATTCCCAGCCTTCCCAAACCTCTTTTTTCCCAGGATTCTGAGCATTCCCCAAACCTGTTTTCCCCAGGAATCCAACCATTCCCAAACCCTATCTATTTTCCCAAGAATTCCCAGCCTTCTCAAAACCCCATTTTCCCAAGAATTCCAAGCCTTCCCAAACCCTTTTTTTCCCAACTTTCCCATCCTTCCCCACCTCCCCCTTCTCCTGCTTGGCCTCCTTGCACTCGGCAGCACAAAACTCTTTTTTCCCATCAATCCAACCATTCCCAAGCCTTTTTTTCCCAACTTTCCCATCCTTCCCCACCTCCTCCTTCTCCTGCTTGGCCTCCTCGCACTCAGCAGCACTAAACTCACTTTTCCCATGAATCCAACCATTCCTAACCCCATTTTTTCCTGGAATTCCCATCCTTCCCCACCTCCTCCTTCTCCTGCTTGGCCTCCTTGCACTCAGCAGTGCAAAATCCTTGTTTCCCATCAATCCAACCTTCCTAACCCCATTTTTTCCTGAAATCCCCAGTGTTTCCCACCTCCTCCTTCTCCTGCTTGGCCTCCTCGCGCTCGGCAGCACAAAATCCTTTTTTCCCATGAATCCAATCATTCCCAACCCCTTTTCTCCTGGAATTGCCCTCCTTCCCCACCTTCTCCTTCTCCTGCTTGGCCTCCTTGCACTCGGCAGCACAAAACTCACTTTTCCCATCAATCCAACCATTCCCAAGCCTTTTTTTCCCAACTTTCCCATCCTTCCCCACCTCCTCCTTCTCCTGCTTGGCCTCCTCGCACTCAGCAGCACTAAACTCACTTTTCCCATCAATCCAACCATTCCTAACCCCATTTTTTCCTGGAATTCCCATCCTTCCCCACCTCCTCCTTCTCCTGCTTGGCCTCCTTGTGCTCAGCAGCACAAAACTCACTTTTCCCATCAATCCAACCATTCCCAACCCCTTTTGTCCTGGGGCTCTGAGCATTCCCAAATCCCTCTTTCCCAAGATTTCCCAGCCTTCCCAAACCCCCTCTTCCCAGGATTTCCAGGCATTCCCAAATCCTTCCTTCCTCACCATTCTGAGCATTCCCAAACCCCCTTTTTTCCCGGATTCTGAGCATTCCCAAAACCCCTCCTTTCCCAGGATTCCCAGCCTTCCTAAAACCCATTTCCCCAAGACTTCTATGCCTTCCCAAACCCCTCTTTGCCCAGGATTCTGAGCATTCCCCAAACCTGTTTTTCTGATGATTCTAACCATTCTTAACCTCATTTTTTCCCCAAAACGGATTCTGAGCATTCCCCAAACCTGTTTTCCCCAGGAATCCAACCATTCCCAAACCCCATTTCTCAAGAATTCCCAGCCTTCCCAAAACCCCACTTTCCCAAGAATTCCAAGCCTTCCCAAATCCCTCTTTCCCAAGATTTCCAAGCCTTCTCAAAACCCCATTTTCCCAACAATTCCCAGCCTTCCCAACCCCTTTTCTCCCGGAATTCCCATCCTTTCCCACCTCCTCCTTCTCCTGCTTGGCCTCCTCGCACTCAGCAGCACTAAACTCACTTTTCCCATGAATCCAACCATTCCTAAACCATTTTTTCCTGGAATTCCCACCCTTCCCCACCTCCTCCTTCTCCTGCTTGGCCTCCTCGCACTCAGCAGCACTAAACTCACTTTTCCCATGAATCCAACCATTCCTAAACCATTTTTTCCTGGAATTCCCACCCTTCCCCACCTCCTCCTTCTCCTGCTTGGCCTCCTTGCGCTCGGCAGCGATGTTCTTCTTGCGGTGGTAGTTGAACTGCGTGTCCTCCTCGGCCTTGACCATCTCCTTCTTGCGCTTGTCGTACTCGGGGGCGAGCTCGCCCGAGCGGCTGATCTCCTCAAAGAGGGCCGTGCGCTCCTTGGGGTTCTTCATGGCGATGGATACTCCACTGCTCCCTGAAAAATGGGGCAGAAATGATCCTAAATCCTGTTAGAGGGGTTCCTAAATTCCTAAGAATGATCCCTAAATCCTGTTAGAGAAGTTCCTAAATCCCTGCAGGGTCAGGAGTCCCTAAATCCCTGAGAGGAATCCCTTCAATCCCTGGGGATCTCCTCAAAGAGGGCCGTGCGCTCCTTGGGGTTCTTCATGGCGATGGACTCCACTGCTCCCTGACAAACGGCATCAAAAATGGTCCTAAATCTTGTCACAGGGGTTCCTAAATCCCTGAGAATGATCCCTAAATCCCTGTAGGATCAAGGGTCCCTAAATCCTAAAAGGGGATCCCCACATCCCTGGGGATCTCCTCAAAGAGAGCCGTGCGCTCCTTGGGGTTCTTCATGGCGATGGACTCCACTGCTCCCTGAAAAACGGCATCAAAAATGGTCCTAAATCCTGTTAGAAGGGTTCCTAAATCCCTGAGAATGATCTCTAAATCCCTGCAGGGTCAGGGATCCCTCAATCCCTGGGGATCTCCTCAAAGAGGGCCGTGCGCTCCTTGGGGTTCTTCATGGCGATGGATTCCACTGCTCCCTGAAAAAATGGGGGCAGAAATGATCCTAAATCCTGTTAGAAGGGTTCCTAAATCCCTGCAGGGTCAGGGATCCCTCAATCCCTGGGGATCTCATCAAAGAGGGCCGTGCGCTCCTTGGGGTTCTTCATGGCGATGGACTCCACTGCTCCCTGAAAAATGGGGCAGAAATGATCCTAAATCCTGTTAGAGGGGTTCCTAAATTCCTAAGAATGATCCCTAAATCCTGTTAGAGAAGTTCCTAAATCCCTGCAGGGTCAGGAGTCCCTAAATCCCTGAGAGGAATCCCTTCAATCCCTGGGGATCTCCTCAAAGAGGGCCGTGCGCTCCTTGGGGTTCTTCATGGTGATGGACTCCACTGCTCTCCTGAAAAATGGGATCAAAAATGGTCCTAAATCCTGGTAGAAACGTGCGTAAATCCCTGAGAATGATCCCTAAATCCCTGGGGATCTCCTCAAAGAGGGCCATGCGCTCCTTGGGGTTCTTCATGGCGATGGACTCCACTGCTCTCTGAAAAAATGGGATCAAAAATGGTCCTAAATCTTGTCACAGGGGTTCCTAAATCACTGACAATGATCCCTAAATCCCTGTAGGATCAGGGGTCCCTAAATCCTAAAAGGGAATCCCTAAATCCCTGGGGATCTCCTCAAAGAGGGCCATGCGCTCCTTGGGGTTCTTCATGGCGATGGACTCCACTGCTCCCTGAAAAACAGGGCAGAAATGATCCTAAATCCTGTTAGAAGGGTTCCTAAATCCCTGAGAATGATCCCTAAATCCTGTTAGAGAGGTTCTGAAATCCCTTCAGGGTCAGGAGTCCCTAAATCCCTGGGGATCTCCTCACACAGGGCCGTGCTCTCCTTGGGGCTCTTCACGGCAATGGCTGTCATGGAAAAATGGGAGTCAGAGAGCCCCAAAATCCCACTGGTGGTCCCCAAATCCTGCCAGGGGGGTTCCCAAATCCCCAAATCCTGCTAGGGGGGTTCCCAAATCCCCAAATCCTGCCAGGGGTGGGAGATCCCAACAGAGAGAGGCACTTCCAGGAGCAGCTGATCCCAAACAGGCCTGGGAGCTCCTGTGGGTCATTCATGGAACCCTGGGAAAGGGCTCAGGGGGTTCCTAAATCCCCTCTGGGGGTTCCTAAATCCCCTTGGGGGGGTCCCTAAATCCCCACGGGGGTCTGGGGGATCCCTCGGGTGGGGGAATGAGGGAGACCCCCCCTCAAAAACCATCCTGGGAGCCCCCAGTTCCTGGGAGCACAAAAACCTCCCCACGCTGCTTCCCCTGAACCTACACAAAGCCCCCAAAGCCTCCCCAAAACCTCCCCAGAAGCCCCAAATCACCCCCAAAAACCCCAAAATCGCCCCCAAAAACCCCAAAACTGCCCCCCAAGAACCCCAAAATCGCCCCCAAACCTCTCCCCACCTGGAAGACGAGGAAGTTCCTGGCCTTGATGAGGATGCCCAACTTCTCCAGCTCCTCGCTGTACTCGCTCAGCTGCACCACGCGGTTGTTGATCTTGTACTCGGAGGAGCTGCCTGGCACGGGGGATTTTGGGGGGTCAGGGGGATCCCCCAAACCCTAAACACCCCAAAATGTGCCTCCCAAATCCTAAACACCCCAAGATGTGCCCTAAAAATCCTAAATTGTGCCCCCTTTGCACCCACACTGACACTGGTCCTTGGCCCCCTCCTCAGAGCTGCCTGTGCTGGGGGGTTTGGGGGGGATTTTGGGGGGTCAGGGAGATCCCCCAAACCATAAACCCCCCAAAATGTGCCTCCCGAATCCTAAACTCCCCAAGATGTGTCCCCTAAACCCTAAACACCCCAAAATGTGCCTCCCGAATCCTAAACACCCCAAGATGTGTCCCCTAAATCCTAAACACCCCAAAATGTGCCCCACAAACCCTGAAGTGTGCCCGCACAACATTGTGACCCCCAAAATGTGCCCCCTTGCACCCACACTGAGACTCCCCAGAGCTGCCTGTGTTGGGGGATTTTGGGGGGTCAGGGGATCCCCCAAACCCTAAACACCCTAAAATGTGCCCCACAAATCCTAAACACCCCAAGATGTGCCCCACAAACCCTAAACTGTGCCCCCTTTGCACCCACACTGACACTGGTCCTTGGCCCCCTCCTCAGAGCTGCCTGTGCTGAGGGGTTTGGGGGGGATCTTGGGGGGTCAGGGAGATCCCCCAAACCCTAAACACCCCAAGATGTGCCCCCCCAAATCCTAAACACCCCAAAATGTGCCCCACAAACCCTAAGCTGTGCCACCCACAATGTTGTGACCCCCAAAATGTGCCCCCCTTGCACCCACACTGAGACGACGACTCCTCAGAGCTGCCTGTGCTGGGGGGTTTGGGGGGGATTTTGGGGGGTCAGGAGGATCCCCCAAATCCTAAACACCCCAAAATGTGCCCCCCAAATCCTAAACACCCCAAAATGTGTCCCCAAATACACCGCAGAACAGCCCCAAAACCTGCAGAATTGCCCAAACTCCCAGAAAAGCCCCCAAACCCCCAGAAATGTCCCCAAACCCATCTGCAAACCCCTGGAAATGCCCCCAAACCCCACCCTAAACCAGCTCCAAAAATGCCCCCAAAACCCCCAGAACTGCCCCCAAACCCACGGAAATGCCCGGCTGTAGGGAATGGGGGGGACCCCAAAGCTTCCAAGGGACCCCATGGTATGGGGGGGAACCCCACAGGAAGAGGAGGGAGGTGAGGGGGGACCCCAGAGACTGAAGAGATGGGGGCGAGGAAGAGCTGTAGAGAATTATTGGGGACCCCAAGGCTTAAAAGGGACCCCAGGGAATAGGGGGAACCCCACAGGAAGAGGAAGAAGAAAAGGGGGGATCCCTCAGAGTGAACAGAGTGGGGCTGTAGAGAATTTCTGGGGAACCCCAAAGGTTAAGAGAGATCCCATGGAATAGGGGGAGACCTCAGGGAAGAGGAGGGAGGCGAGGGGGGACCCCAGAGAGTGAACAAAGGGAGGCAAATAAGAGCTGTAGCGAATTATTGGGGACTTCAAGGCCTAGGAGGGACCCCAAGGAATAGGGGGGACCCCATGGGAAGAGGAGGGAGGTGAGAGGGGAGCCAAGGGCTTGGGGGGAGGGTGAGGAGGGACCCCAGGGTGTGAGGGCGGGGCTGTAAGAAATGGGGGGGACCCCAAAGCTTAGAAGGGACCCCATGGAGTGGGGGGGGACCCCAGGGGAAGAGAAGGGAGGCAAGGGGGCACCCCAGAGAGTGAAAGGGAAGGGGTTGAGGAAGAGCTGTAGAGAATTATTGGGGACCCAAGGCTTAGGAGGGACCCCAGAGAATAGGGGGAACCCCATGGTAAGAGGAAGGAGGCGAGGGGGGACCCCAGAGAGTGAAAGGGAAGGGACTGAGAAAAAGCTGTAGAGAATTATTGGTGACTTCAAGGCTTAGGAGGGACCCCAAGGAATAGGGGGAACCCCACAGGAACAGGAAGGAGGCAAGGGGGGGATCCCACAGAGTGAACAGAGCGGGGCAAAGAAAGGCTGTAGAGAATTATTGGGGAATCCCAAAGGTTAAGAGAGACCCCATGGAATAGGGGGAGACCTCAGGGAAGAGGAGGGAGGCGAGGGGGGACCCCAGAAAGTGAAAAGAGAGGAGTGCAGAAAAACTGTAGAGAAAATTATTGGGGAGCCAAGGCTTAGGAAGGACCCCAAGGAATGAGGGGGGACCCCAGAGAGCAAAGAGAGGGGGGCAAGGAAGAGCTGTAGAGAATTACTGGGCACCTCAAGGCTTAAAAGGGACCCCACGGAATGAGGGGGGACCCCAGAGAGTGAAAGGGGAGGGGTTGAGGAAGAGCTGTGGAGAATTATTGGGGACTCAAGGCTTATGAAGGGCCCCAGGGAACGGGGACCCCCCCCGGGCACGGCGGGAGGAGGGAGCGGGAGCGGGGCGGTGCAAAGCATTCGGGGTGACCCCTCAGACCACGACCGGAGCGGCCCTGACCCCCCCTCAGCCCCGAGAGCCCCCCGGGACTCACCGGAGCCATTGGGGCCGATGATGGCGGTGAAGCGGCGGAAGGGCCCGATGATCTGGCGGCCCTTGTACGACTTGAAGTTCTCGATCTCGATGAGCTTGAGGAAGCCCATGGCGGGGCCGGGGGGTGCCGGGAGGGTCCCGGGGGGCTGAGGGGGTCCCGGGGGTCTCGGGCCGGGGCCGCGGCCGGAGGGCGGGAAAGCGGCGGCTGAGGCGGCCGCTGAGGGAACTGGCGCTGCGCCTCGCGATTGGCTCAGGGCGCTGTCAATCCTCGCCTTAACCCCGCCTCCTCGCCTCTGATAGGCCGGCGGTTTCTAGCGGCGGTTCTGTGGCGCCACGCCTCGCGATAGGCTCGGGTTGCTGTCAATCTTAGCTGTAACCCCGCCTTCTCGCTTTCTATTGGTCGCCGGTTTGAACGCAGGGTTGGCGGCGCCAGCGGGGGTCATTTGCATGGAATGTACCAAGTCTGAGGGAGGCAGGGGGGAGAAGCGGAATGGGTCGCCCCGTCGCCATGGGAACGGGGGACGCCATGGGGCAAAGGGCGCCGCAAATTGGGGGATTTTCGGTAAAAATCGGGTTTGTCGGTGATGGGGACAAAAAGCCTTGGGACAAGATTTATTGCTCGAGGTTGTTTCCAGTCAGAATGATTCTGCGATGCCCAAATTATAAGTTAACTTGGAATAATAAACAATAAGTTATGATAACCACTAACTGTTTAAATTGATTTTTATATTATTGCGTTCTATTGATGACTGTATAGCTTACACTGAACCTACAAGATACCTGGGTACTTTGCGTTTTAAGATATTGGTATAACTTGCTATACCTCTGTCACTCAATATCCACATAAACTAAATCAAAGTGTCTCATGTACTTGTGAAACCTGCTACCTATAAAACCCGGATTATATTTCCACAGTTACATAACCTGCATCATTATTCTGATAACTACGTAACTTTATATGGAGAATTTTTTATACAATAAAATGCCTAGTATTTGGTTAACCAACTGTTCAATGCTGAGTGGAGAAAATAAGAAGAAAAAACTCACTGGGTGGATAGCTTTTTCCCCTCAAAGGCTTCATTTCCCCCCCTTTTCCCCTAATGGGCTCCATTTCCTGGCAATTTTCCCTCCAAAGGCTCCATTTTCCCCTCATGGGCTCCGTTTCTCCCCATTTTCCCCTCATGGGCTCCATTTCCCCCCATTTTCCCTTCAAAGGCTCCATTTCCCCTAATTTTCCCCTCAAGGGCTCAATTTCCCTCCATTTTTTCCTCACAGGCTCCATTTCTCCCCATTTTTCCCTCAAAGGCTCTATTTCTCCCCATTTTCCCCTCATGGGCTCAATTTCCCTCTATTTTTTCCTCACAGGTCCATTTCCTCCATTTTTTCCCTCAAAGAAACCATTTTTCCCACAAGGGCTCCATTTCCCACCATTTTCCCTTCAGGGACTGCATTTTCCCCTCATGCTCTCCATTTCTCCCCATTTTCCCCTCAAAGGCTCCATTTTCCCCCATTTTCTCCTCATGGGCTCCATTCCCCCCATTTTCCACTCAAGGGCTCAATTTCCCTCCATTTTTTTCCTCACAGGCTCCATTTCCTCCCCTTTTTTCCTCAAAGGCTCCATTTCTCCCCATTTTCTCCTAATGGGCTCCATTTCCTGACAATTTTCCCCCTCAAGGCTCCGTTTCTCCCCCATTTTCCACTCACAGGTTCCATTTCCCCACATTTTCCCCTCAGGGACTGCATTTTCCCCTCATGCTCTCCATTTCCCCCCATTTTACCCACAAGGGCTTCATTTCCCAAAATTTTCCCTCATGGGCTCCATTTTCTCCTCATGGGCTCTATTTCCTAACATTTTCCCCTTATGGGTTCCCCATTTTCCCCTCAGGGACTGCATTTTCCCCTCATGCTCTCCATTTCCCCCCATTTTCCCCTCAAAGGCTCCATTTCCCACCATTTTCCCCTAATGGGCTCCATTTTCTCCTCATGCTCTCCATTTCCCAAAATTTTCCCCTCATGGGCTCCATTTTCCCCTCATGGGCTCCATTCCCCCTGTTTTCCCCTCAAGGGCTCAATTTTCCTCCATTTTTCCCTCACAGGCTCCATTTCCTCCCATTTTTCCCTCAAAGAAACCATTTTTCCCACAAGGGCTCCATTTCCCAACATTTTCCCTCATGGGCTCCATTTTTTCCCTCAAAGGCTCCATTTCCCTCCATTTTCCCTTCAGGGACTGCATTTTCCCCTCATGCTCTCCATTTCCCCCCCATTTTCCCCTCATGGGCTCCATTTCCCAACATTTTCCCCTCATGGGCTCCATTTTCCCCCCACGGGCTCCATTCCCCCCATTTTCCCCTCAAGGGCTCAATTTCCCACAATTTTTTCCTCACAGGCTCTATTTCCTCCCATTTTTTTCCTCAAAAGCTCCATTTGCCCCCATTTTACCCTCAAGGGCTCAATTTTCCCCTCAAGGCTCCATTTCCCCCCATTTTCCCCTCATGGGCTCAATTTTCCCCTCAAGACTCCATTTCCCCCCATTTTCCCCTCAAAGGCTCCATTTCCCACCATTTTCCCCTAATGGGCTCCATTTTCTCCTCATGCTCTCCATTTCCCAAATCCCAAAATTTTCCCTCATGGGCTCCATTTTCTCCTCATGGGCTCTATTTCCTAACATTTTCCCCTTATGGGTTCCCCATTTTCCCCTCAAAGGCTCCATTTCTCTCCATTTTCCCCTAATGGGCTCCATTTTCTCCTCATGGGCTCCATTTCCCCCCATTTTCCCCTCATGGGCTCCATTCCCCCTGTTTTCCCCTCAAGGGCTCAATTTTCCTCCATTTTTCCCTCACAGGCTCCATTTCCTCCCATTTTTCCCTCAAAGAAACCATTTTTCCCACAAGGGCTCCATTTCCCAACATTTTCCCTCATGGGCTCCATTTTTTCCCTCAAAGGCTCCATTTCCCTCCATTTTCCCTTCAGGGACTGCATTTTCCCCTCATGCTCTCCCTTTCCCCCCCATTTTCCCCTCAAGGGCTCAATTTTCCTCCATTTTTCCCTCACAGAAACCATTTTTCCCACAAGGGCTCCATTTCCCAACATTTTCCCCTAATGGGCTCCATTGTCTCGCCATGGGCTCTATTTCCTAACATTTTCCCCTCACGGGCTCCATGTCCCCCTCATGGGCTCCATTTCCCAACATTTTCCCCTAATGGGCTCCATTTTCTCGTCATGGGCTCTATTTCCTAACATTTTCCCCTCACGGGCTCCATGTTCCCCTCATGGGCTCCATTCCCCCCATTTTCCCCTCAAGGGCTCAATTTCCCACAATTTTTCCCTCACAGGCTCTATTTCCTCCCATTTTTTTCCTCAAAAGCTCCATTTGCCCCCATTTTACCCTCAAGGGCTCAATTTTCCCCTCAAGGCTCAATTTCCCCCCATTTTCCCCTCATGGGCTCCATTTCCTGACAATTTTCCCTCCAAAGGCTCCATTTCCCCCCATTTTCCCCCTCAAGGCTCCGTTTCTCCTCCATTTTCCACTCACAGGTTCCATTTCCCCACATTTTCCCCTCAGGGACTGCATTTTCCCCTCATGCTCTCCATTTCCCCCCCATTTTCCCCTCATGGGCTCCATTTCCCAACATTTTCCCCTCATGGGCTCCATGTTCCCCTCATGGGCTCCATTCCCCCCATTTTCCCCTCAAGGGCTCAATTTCCCACAATTTTTCCCTCACAGGCTCTATTTCCTCCCATTTTTTTCCTCAAAAGCTCCATTTCCCCCCATTTTCCCCTCAAGGGCTCCATTTTCCCCTCAAGGCCTCCATTTCTCCCCATTTTCCCCTCATGGGCTCCATTTCCTCACAATTTTCCCTCCAAAGGCTCCATTTCCCCCCATTTTCCCCTCAAGGCTCCGTTTCTCCCCCATTTTCCCCTCACAGTTTCCATTTCCCCACATTTTACCCTCAGGGACTGCATTTTCCCCTCATCCTCTCCATTTTCCCGCATTTCCCCCTCAAAGGCTCAATTTTCCCCTCAAAGGCCCCATTTTCCCTCATTTTCCCCTCAAAGGTTCAGTTTCCCCCCCATTTTCCCCTCACGGGCACCATTTCCACCCTTAATAGGCTCCCAGAATTGCCACGTCTCCCCTAAAATGTCCCTTTATCCTGGCAAAATTGTCTATATCCCCCAAAATTACCAGATTCTCCCTGAAATGACTCTTTCCTCCCCAAACACTTTTCAGCTTGGCCAAAACCCTCTATTTTGCCCCGAAAAATACTGTGTTTCCCACTGAAAATATGGATTTTCACTTTTGAATATTTGATTTTTCCTCCTAATCCAGAGGGACTCAGCCCAAAGTTCCCATTTTCCCTGCAAAAATACTCATCTTCCACCAAAACTATGGATTTTTTCCTCTGAAATTTTTGATTTTTCCTCTAAATCTGGAGGGTCTTACACCCAAAATTCCCATTTCCATACAAAAATACTGATTTTTCACTGAAAGTATGGATTTTACCCCAAAAATTCCAATTTCCCCTACAAAAATACCGGTTTTTCACTAAAATTATGGGCTTTTCCCTCTAATATTTTTGATTTTCCCCCTAAATCTGGAGGGTCTCACACCCAAAATTCCCATTTTCCCTACAAAAATACTGATTTTCCACTGAAAGTATGGATTTTACCCCAGATTTTCCCATTTTCCCTGCAAAAATATCTGTTTTCTCCAAAAACTATGGATCTTTCCCTATGATATTTTTGATTTCCCCCCTAAATCTGGAGGGTCTCACACCCAAAATTCCCATTTTCCCCACAAAAATACTGGTTTTCCACTGAAAGCATGGATTTTACCCCAAAAATTCCCATTTTCCCTGCAAAAATATTGATTTTCCACTGAAAGCATGGATTTTACCCCAAAAATTCCCATTTTCCCTGCAAAAATACTGATTTTCCAGTAAAATTATGGATTTTTCCCTTTGATTTTTTTTGTTTTTTAGTTTAAATCCGGGGGGATCTGGGTGGTCTCACCTTTGGGTCTGGGGGTACCGGGGGGAGGAGTCACAAAGCCACGCCCCTTTCATCAAGCCACGCCTCTTTGGACACAGAACCACGCCCCCACACGCGCAAAGCCGTGTTGAGACCACGCCCCTTACAGCAAACCACGCCCCTTCATTGGACACGCCCTCTGCGTCGCCACGCCCCTGCGGCAGCGCGGGCGAGGGGGCGTGGCCAGGGCAGCGCG